TTCATTTCCTGACTTTGCATTGTCACTGGAAAAAACAATATTCGAAAAGAAAAATGTACAAAAAACTTACGATTTCACGGTTGTGAATTCTGATCCTATGCTGATTCAGAGCTGCCTTATTGAAAAACTACTGATCGCAAACTCCATCCAGGGGGTGAGCAAGGACGTTCTCGAGCTTGCATACATATGGCTTATCGTCTCCATCCTCGAGACACTCCCATTCATATGCATCGCTAAATGCGTCGATGTCTTCCTTGGCCAAGGCGGCTCTGCACATCACTGAAAAATTGCCAAAGATGAGCAGCCGGATTTTAAACCAAAGTAAAAACTAAAACCAAAAACCCCTTCACGGGTGTGCATCTATGAGAAAAAGCAGCCATAAGCAGCCTGAAATGAAAAGAAAGAATCCTTTTGTGAGAAACAAAAGAAAGAGGAAACACCACGCCTGAGCTTCCTACTGAGGATCTTGATCGGCGGCTCAAGTAGATGCCACAGATAAGCAGCCCATTGATGAACAAAAGCCAAGAGACAGACCAAAGACTAAAAATCTCACTAGGCATCCGTTTTCACCAAAACAAAATCTATGTGACAGAGAATCTTACCCATCTGGACACCTGGAATGTAGGCTAGATCTTGGGATCGATCGATCTCTAGCTCCCCCAGCGCCGCCGCCCTCGCCTTCCAACAATACCCTCACCCTAAACCGAACTCTCACCGCTAGAATAAGGTTATTGGCAAGGGTTTTGGCTATCAACAAAAGACGTCTAAAGTTTCTGGTTTTGAACGTACGCAGCAACCATTGATGTGTAGCTTAGCTCGTCCTTTGCGTAAGATTCATAAGCCTCCCTTGCTGCTTCCACATCTCCACATCTTCCATGCATCGCAACTATAGCCGATCTCAAAACCGAATTGCTGGTCGTGACTCCGCTACACTCTCGAATCAGCGAACAGAGAGCCACAGCTGGCCTAGGGTCGCCTATACACCCGCAAGCGTGAGCGACAGAGATGAATGTGATTAGACTCGGTAGATTGCCGTCAAGCAGCATGCACTGAAAGAAAAAGAGAGCTTGCCTTGGCTGGGAGTTGTGACCAAGAGCCAAGATGATCTAGTTGTAGGAGACAGCGTCTGGAGCTTCTATAATGCAGAACATGTCGTGCAGCTCCTCGAGCATTCCACACTTCCCATACATGCTCAGGAGAGTGTTCTGCAAAGTCAAGTCAGTGTCGAAACCAGTTTGCATCAAGAGCTCGTGACAGAGCTTACCTCGCCGCAAGTCTCTAGCACAAGCGCATGCGTTTATGATGCTCACAAAGCTGATCTTGTCGAGCTTGACGCCTTCCAAGCTCATCTTCTCGAACAGTCGCAGAGCTTCCATGCCATGCCCGTTTCGAGCATACACTCCCATCAAAGCCGTGCAAGAGACAAGGTCTCCAGCAGCTTCCATGGCGTCAAAAACCTCTCGAGCATTGTCCACGCTCCCACACTCTCCATACAAGTGGATGAGGCTCCAAAGGATTCTCTCCTCGCCCCCAAAACCAGCCACTGTCGCCAGCCTTTCCAGCTCTCGAGCCTGTTTGATGTCCCTGCAAGCTGTCAACACACTCGAGATTGTCACTGTGTTGAACCTCACTCCCTCGTTTTGCATTCTACATGCTAGTAATGACCATTCCTGGCAAATGCTGCAATCAAGATGGTCCAAGAGAAAATGTTTGGCTCCTGAATTTGGCCAAACGTTCCAAGCGCGAGATCAAAGTTACCGTGTAATGAAAATTCCCATTTCTCGGGCCTAGAAAACCGCCGAATACTATTTCAAACAATCATGTTGTTGAAAACACTTCACGAGAAAATCATATCACTCCTCACATGGTTAAAGTTCTTTCGTTAGAAGTACTACGAATGACCGAAAACATAACTGAGACTTATACACCACCCTAGGCTTGGGTTTAAGGTATAAGCTTTAAACCCTGAATTCTAGGGTTCTTTATATATGCTGTAGGATGTATTGATTCTAAACTAATATATCAGTAGCCAAAGATCTAGCTAAAGGTAGTAGCCTAGAAAAAGAATTCACTATAGCGTTACAGTATATGTGAATAGTTAGTTGCATTATAGAAATAATCTATTTATATAGTAAAATAAGTAGTAATGGCTTGGAACCTCAGAGAAAAACATTGCTATAACAATGTTGAGCAGTAACACAAACATCTACTAAACCTTAAAACATGAAAGATTTACTTAAGGTATAACTATGGTTATGTTGTCAAAACTATAGCAAAATAGATTGATGAAATAACTCTAAACATACTAGATTACTTGAGACCATCCATAAAAGGACATCCCTAAATAATTAAATATATAATGAGAAACTTGAATAATATTAATGCTATATAATGATAAACCCTAAGCCCTAAAGAATAAATAAATAAGAAAAACAAGAAAGTGAATACTCTAGTCATTATATGGTGATAGAATGATGGCTCTAATGAATAGGTGAAATTAAAGATTACTTGAAAGTTGTATGGTGAAACAGGTTTACTTGATCAAGCAGAGGTATTGTTGATGAAATCAATGAGAAAGATAACATAAAATATCTCTCGTAGAGAACGGCCAAGTAAATTTTTGAACAATAAGGTTGTCGAAAACCCTTCAGAAAAAGACATAATTATTTTGACAAATTTAGTGGTTAGTCGTCAAAAGTAAAACTATTGACTTACAACCTAAAATCTGCGTTGTTTTGGTCAGAAGTAATACTATGTACCAACTACGGTTTTTGGCTTTCGTGCAGTAATGGTTAGCTAGTAATACTTAGAAGTGGTAGCAATGCCGAGAAAAACTTGAAGGAGATGCAAAGTTATTGGCAAAGTTACTTTTTCTAGCCTTATTTTTGAGGTCAGAAGATGGAGAGTAATTAGATGTACAAGCCTATTCACTCAACTTACCAAAAATAAAAACATGTATATACATTCCTTATATCCTTTAGGGACTAATTACAAAAAAATTGGGCAAGCTGATCAGTCACTCTCAAAAAGAGTCACTTGCTTGGTAGGAGGGGAGTTGGACTTTGCCAATGTAGTGTGTCCCATCCCTGGGCCGCTTAGAGGATTGTATCTGGGGTTTATGGTTAGAGAACTAGAGTGAATGATTACTTGTTGTAAGTCCAAAAACTCTAAGATGTTGAGCTCCAAATGCCTAAACTCTCCATGCATGGCTGTGTTTTCTTGCTTATTCGCGGATGGAAATCCCCTTTCCCTGTCGTAGGAAATGTCCTAGTACTTTTTGGAGCAATAAGGATGTCGAAAACCTTGCAGAAAAAGACGCAACTCTTCTGACAAATTAATTGGTCAGATGTCAAAAGTAAAACTATTAACAATAAACCGTTAACCTCAAAAATATGTAATTTCATTTATTTACGTATTACACGATGAAAATTCCCATTTCTCAGGCCTAGAAAACCACTGAATACTGTTGCAAACAATCACGTTGTTGAAAAGTCATATTAATCCTCACATAGTTTCGTTGACCTTGGTGCTGCTACAGTGGATGGTTTGGACACTGAGATACATCCACGAAACGAGGAGTCGTGTGAGTAACAGAGAGACCTTGTATGAATAAGTTAGTGACCTTTTCATCTTTCTTTTGGGAGTATCATCAAAGGGTTCACTCGGCACCAGTTCATCCAGTATTTACTTTCCAAGCTCGTTTTTATAACAAGAGGTCTCCTATTATTCTCTCCATGTTGGTTAATATAGGTTTGAGTTTATCTTCTATTGCTCGACCTGTTGCCACACGTTGCCATCTACACTTGCGTCGTGCGGCGGAACTAGTTTTCATTCTTTATGGCAATGGCCGTACACATGTCTATGCACAGGATGAGGCAGAACTAATTGTGCGTGTGGGCGATCTTGAGCTTGAGTTGTAGTCATTGCAAGTGGTGCCGAGTCAAGCTTTTGACCTTACTCTTGGTATGGATTGGTTGCAGGGCAATCATGCCAAGTGTGATTTTGAGGTTTCTCCCCTTTATCTCATATTTCCTTATGTTTTATCCATTCATTTCACTTTTGTACCTCTTCGTCCCTCTATTTCTACCTCTGCTTCCATTACTTTTGTTTTCCCATTATTTCCTCTTATGTTTCTGTCTTGTTTAGCTCTTCCCTTTTCCGATCCCTTCGATGATCTTTGTGTTGAAATGGTTGATCGGCTCATGAAAGAGTATTCTAATCTCTTTGAATTTGACC